AACACTGCGTATGCGGTCGTAAAAATTTGAGCTTTGCACGGACATGCCCTGGGGGTACGCTCGTACCTCTGCGTACGTACATGCGTACCGCTGCGTATGGATGTAAGCGGTAGTATACTGGGGGCTTAAGGATGCATCAGGGATGCTCTGACCTACATTACCTATGTAGATTATGAAGATGGTGGGTCCTAAGACTGAGCCTTGTGGTACACCATTGTTAACTGATAATAACTGGAAGAAGTACCATTATGTTGAACATAATGTCTGAGAGATAGTTAGCGAAACCAACCAATGATGTGAACTGAGAAACCAATTTCTGAGAGCTTATGACACAAGATGTCATGGTCCACAGTGTCAAAAGCTTTAGACAGGTCAAAGTAAAGTGCAGCATAATAATCCATGATGGAATCTGAGTGTTGAATCATATTTTGTTGTCTTGTCACTTGAGATTTGAACATAAAGTGCAACAAACTTGTGCTTGGCAGTCTATCTTCTTGCAATTGTTTTGCAGTTTTGAATCGACAACTCTCAAACTGTCGCAGCCTAGCGGCGCGCCACCTCAAGTTAACACGCATTAAAATAACCTCTAGTTCATTACACATCTCAAGGACAAGGTGTGAAGCAGAATATAGCTTTACTGTAATTGCTGGAATGTATGTAAGTTGACAATTGGTTAATAATATTAAATTTAGACCGTGTTGCTAAAAATATAACACTTGGCACCGAGGTGCAGGGGGAGAACTCATCCGCTAACAAGAACAAGAAAAACAAAATGTGCAGTCAGCCTTTGTGTTGCTCCCACTCATCAGGATCAAGGTGTTCTCAGTGATCCACTGCATAGAAACACGTTTTTGGTTATTAATCATCGTTAGGTTCATTTCAGACTGTAATTATGGGGAGGGGGGGACTCACACCTGAAGGGATTTTAAACATTTTTAAGTTTATGTAAAACATAAACTCTTGTTTATGACTCATTTATTACACATTTATTACTCTTTTACTTATTTACTCATTTGTTTCTAATTTCTTTATTTCTTAACTTAAAGAAACCTGAGAAATGTACAACTCTTTTGATCAGCTAAGTCCATGCTAAGACTTGATCTGTCCCGTGTGTAAGTTTAGAGAACCGGCATATCTGATACAATCTGATATGATACAATTCCAGTCCGAAGAAACAAACTTTAAAAGTGGGGGAAACATCTTTGTTTTGGTCTTTCATACTGACTTTTATGATTAAGTCTTCATTTAGAATGAAGGGCTCCAGATGCACTAAAGTGTGTGTAACGCAGAGTGATGCTATTTGTTGCTAAACAGCTGCTGGGAGGAGGATGAGGCTATGAAAAGTGTATCATTGTTAAAAAAGACAAAGAAAAGGAGGAGACAAAAGTCAGGAGGCAGAAGAAGAGTTGACATGATGGACAGAAAGGGAGAGGACGTCTGTGTGTATGTGTGTGTGTGTGTGTGTGTGTGGGGGGGGGGGGGGTACTCAAAGAGAAAGATGGATGAGAAGGGATGGAGCAAAGAAAGATGAGGTCGAAACATGCTGGACTGAGAAATAAATGGGATGGAAGGATTAGATGAAGGTTATGAAGATGTTTTCATTCTTTAAGAGACTTCCTGTAGCTCTGAGCAGAAACTATTTATTTAAATATTGATTAAGTGTTTGTGGTTTTACTCAGGGTCATTCCTTTCTTCACGAGGAGGTTGTGTGTCCAGCAGATGGTCAGGAACTGGGACACACAAACAGACACACAAACACACACACACACAGCTGAATCCCTGAGGGTTTGTAAGACTCCTGCTGGAGTCATTCTGCCCCCCAGAGGAATCCATTCTGATCCTGCATGCCTTAGTACTTCTTTTACAGTGTGCTTTGTATGTGTGTGTGTGTGTGTGTGTGTGTGTGTGTTAGTGGGTATGTATGTGCATGAACCTCACTTGACACAATGAAGGGTCATGAACAGGCCAGCTGTCCCTCTCTCTCTCGCTGTATTTGCACTTTTGTTGATATTCATCAGTAAAAGTTTATGACTCGTTGACCCCCTGCTTCATTCGGTTTGATTCAGATTTAAAACAAGTCACAGCTGGTAAAATACCCCAATTCACAAAAACTCCAGACTCTTTTAACATTTCACATATTTTAACATATCAAGTGCTGAGGTTGCAGCTTTCTTTACTAGCACTGACCAATGGCTGACATACAAAGTATTACAGATACAATACTAAAGAGCAATTTCCTTTTAGAGTACCTTATTACATGTACTGATGTTTACACCACTGAAGCAGTAACCTGACGTTCTAATACAAACTAAGCACACATTAGGATGGGGTAGAGGCAGGGCAGCCGACCCGGGACCCAAAAGCCCCAGGTTTGATCGAGCCCCAGTCATTGCACATCTCGTGGCGTTTCTGAGCAGCCCACCCTATCCCCAATTACTCCCCGGGCGCTTTCAATAGATGCCCACGGCTCCACCTGGGGTTGGATGGGTTAAATGCAGAGAGCCAATTTCGCCATTGCATGGAAACATACTGTACAATGATGATAACACAACACTTTATTATTATTAATTATTATTATTTGAATAAATTAATAAATAAACAACAACAACAACAAAAAATATATATGTGTGTGTGTTTGTTTGTTCAGAAGCAGGGAAAACAGTCTCAATCTAATGTTTTCTCTAATAAATGCAAAGTATTAATTTTAATGAGAGGAGCTAGAAAGAAAAACGAATGAAACAAATACTCACGTTTACATTTTTACGTGAAATAAAGGACTTGCTGTATTCAAATGCCCTTTAGAAGAATTGAATTCCTGGTAAAACAGATGTGAGTTATAACCATCCTGCTCAATCCTTGTAATTAAATGACGAATTGTGAATTATTCGCACCCTCATGCAACATTGCAAGATGTGTTTGAGCTTGGCATATTTGTTGAGAATGACTCTCCTCTACTACTACCATAAATTGTAGCTCAATATCTGTGAAATCGACAGTTTGGAGCCATTTTTGTGTTGGCTATCTTAAACTGGACGGATTAAAAAGTAATCATTCAAACATGCAGATCAAATGATTCCTTTCTAAGAGTTTCATTAAAATAAATAACATCCATCCGTGGGTTCTTGAGCTTTTTTGATAATGATACATTTGAAGTAACTACACCTTCACACAAACACAAGTCAAAAGCCTTCAGCAGCGGGCGATAATGAAGTAGCAGTTGATGGATGGGTGTGAGGAGTGCGTTTTGTATTCTCTGGTCACGGTTTGCTTGTTCAGATAACAAAACCCAGCAGAGATGCTGAGGTCAGATTCTTGATGAGCTTTGAGCTCAGGAGCATCATTAGAAGTCAGCCTTCCTGCAGATCCGTCTCCGGGTGTTTTGGTTTGTTGGGAGTGACTAACGGCTGCGGGGTGAGTGATTCAGAGCAGATGATGGTGTGCTGTCCAGCCATTCTCACACAGCAGGGGAATTTATCAAGAACCTGTCCAGTGGTTTTTTCCAACCCTGCTAAGCTATCTGTCTTGTTCATCACTGTGTATTTATGTCTGTGGTCTCCGTATCATCCCGTGAGAGAACTCCCCCATGGGTGAAAATAAAGCTGTCGAGAGCAAAGTCTAAATGTTCCTTCATATATTTCATCAATTTGAACTTGAATCTCTTGTTAATTTAAAATCCTTTTAAAAAAGTTGACTTTAGGAATATCGTGAATATCAGGAATTTTACCGTTTTTATGAAATTCTCAGAAAGTGATTATTGGATGTACCGTTATAGCTGAAAAACTTATGTCAGCCAAATTCAAGATGGCCACCGTAGCTTATTAATGGCTGTACTTTAGTCAGGTTTACAGATATTGAGTTTGACGTGGTAGTAGCTGAAACTTTACTCAGTGACAGACAGTGTGGATTGTAGTCAGCTCTGTGTCTGATTAAATTAATAACACCGATCCAAAAAGTCTGTACGACTGGCTGAGGTGATACTGGTTTAGATTTACTGGATCTGTTGATGTCCTTAACGTTTTAGCTGCAGGTATGGTGCTTCCATTTATATCCAGTTTGCCTTTTCTCCTCTTATGATATCACTGAACTTTGCTGCCTTTTTTTTTTTACTTGAAACATATAATGTTGTTACTTATATGTGCTTTCTTAATTACTCCAATTGTAATAAAAAAAATATGGCATTTAAGTTATTATTTGATCAAATTAATTTAAAAAATGTGTCCAAACACCAAACAGTTTTATGATAATGTGAGTTGTCACACAAAGTCAAAACAGTAAATTCCCTAAATTCAGGTGTGACATATGGTGTTTAATGATGCAAGTGCAGGTATACAATAATGTAAAGACAACATCCCTGTGACGGCTGGTGTGAACGTCAATCAGCCACAGTTTGTGAGAATATTTGGTGGTTCTGGATCTCTTTCAGTTTGTGAATCTTTTGTCATACCAGTGAGAGTTAGATAATAAATGCCTTGTTTTTATATTTGTCAACAAAGTTTCCGTATTGTTGTCAGCAACTCCTCATCGTCTGGTTCACCTCATCTTTGACTGAGAATGTTATGTTCTTCCAGAGTTAAGGATGATGGCTGAGGGGCGATTTGCCAGTCTGCCCAGGTCACTTCATGCCCACCACACCTTAGGAGGAGGTGCTGCCCACCCTGGAGTCCACAGCACCGCCCTCGGTGCCTCCAACAATGGCATCTCCTCCCCCAGGAAGCTTCAGGCCTCTCTCACCTCCTCTATGGACCTCCTCGGCTCCAACTCTGGGTGAGTTTCATTTCCTTACCTAAATCAAAGAAAACTCTTGTTGGGAAGAAAGCTTCAAAGGATTTCTGTTCTGGTTTCCTTCCTGCAGCCTGTCTCCAGGCCCCGGCAGCAGCTCATCAGAAGGTCCCGCTGCAGCCTACCAGCCAATCTCATTACATGGAACTCTGCCCCGGCGCAAGAGAGGAGGCACCAACGTCACTCGTGGGAATCACACTTGGGACCCCAAAACCAGTCACATGCAGCCATTCCTTTGTGGGAACACATCAGTGTCTTCAGAGCGCATCCATCAACCTGCGACCTCCTCCCTGGCTGACACCACTGACGACTTCAAAAGTTACAGGTAGACACGTCACTAACTCCGGCATGGATAACATTTCTGGATTCACCAGTTGGCGGATTTGTTTTAAAAGGTTTACTAAAACGTGTCTGAAGTTTGGGATTCGAGTGCATGTTGCCTGTAAACGCAGAAGGTGGTCGTGAAAACGTTTCAGCTCCGTTATTTATGGGCAACAGCTGCCGCGGCTAATCTGGGGCTGCAGTCATTGACCCATCTTCTGTGAAAGAGACAACTACACATCCATCAAAAACCCATCTCGCTCCGGTTCCAGTCAGGTTCGTGTGGAGAACCGAGTCTCAGATCTGAAACCAGGAAATCTCACCCGATACGTTCACACAGGTTCGGATGAAGAGACGGGAGGTTGTAAACGAAGTCCTGAGGGGGGTGTAGCTGTTAGCTCCACTTCAGAGAGAACACACACCTCATCCCTCATCGTGTCCTCCCAGCTTTCTGTCTCTGGTGTAGAGTTACACACTGGATCTGATTTGTGTGCATGTGTGGATGTGTGTTTGGAGCCCCCAGCAGTTTGGTTACCTTTGTAGGTCGGGGTGTGTCAGAGCTGATCGCAGATTACTGTGAACCCTTTGTCTCTTCTGTTTTATCTCTCCGCCTCCATGTTGGATCCATTTCATAAGCTGCTGACACACGGCAGGATCATCTGTCCGGGCTCTGCAGGTGGCTTGATGCTGAGCTGTATAATAATCCTGCTGTATCAGGCTGCAGACACCAAAACAAGTGGAGGCAGAATAGATTTACGTGTTTGCGTTTTGATTTGAATTAGCAAAATAATCAGGATTTTTTTTAACTTAAGGCAAATTTTATTCAAATAAATATATAAAAAAAACAGCATTTAAAAAGTTCTTCTAAGGTATGTAACCACTGGCCAATTGGTTTTGACTTTTCGCTCCACATGCTGTTGGCTGACCCGTGACCCCTGACCTTTTGTCTCACTAGCACCAGATTGGCTGGTTTGTCTCTCTCTTGACCTCTGTTGGACAGTTTTAGGACCACCAGGAAAGGAGGAGAGGACAAAGAGGGGGATCAGATGGAGGGAGCAGAGATAAAGCTTTTCATGGTGCCGATACATAAATATTTTTACTTTTATGGTTAGAAATAAACTCAACTAGAACCTATCAGAACACTTTGAAATCCAAATTTATTTAAATTCTGTTTTTATTTCTTTTTAAGCCATTATAAAACACGTTCACTGAAGGATTCATATTTGAATGAAATACGTTTTTTGAGTAGGTGAAAATGAACTTTGTATTTTAATCAAATTAGAATCAATGTATGCACAGTATTATGGAGGACTGAATGTGGCAAAATGAAATAAATACATACATAATAATGAAATTTATCATTTACATATTAAATGCATTATTAAATTATTAAATACACAATTAAATTATTCATTTCATGATTTATTTATTTAATTTTGTCACATTTCACCCTCGTATGTCACCATACAGGACTAGGGTGGGACTAATGCTGATCATGCGAAATCCATTGCTTCGGTCTGAAGTCAGTTCATACATGGAAGCTCCATCCATGCAGCTCGTAAAACTGCATCTTCTTTTTACATTCATTGTATGAAAAAAGGTTTCACCCAAATACACGTAAACACAATTACCGCTTCCTAAAGTTTCAGAATATATTTTCTTGCCTGTGGATCAATCCATTATCTGCGGTCGATTTGTCTTCGCTTGCAGTGAGGAGCAGCCAATCAGGCGTCAGGGTCTGTTCACGAGCTGCCGTAGTCCCGCCCACTGAGTTTGACGAGTGAGACTGACAGTTAACATCATTTCATGGTGTCATTGGAGGAGGGAAGGTGACAAAATTAAATAAATACATAAATCATGAAATAAATAATTTAAAAGGTACATTTCATTATTTAATGGTGCATTTAATAATTTAATTGTAATGATTTAATTATGTGCCCTGTGATGGACTTGCTACCTGTCCAGGGTGTACCCCGCCCCTCGCACAGTGATTGCTGGACATGGGCACCGACGACCCCCGTGACTCAAAATGGATGAAGCGGATAAAAGATAATGCATGGATGGATTTAATTATGTATTTAATAATTAAGTAATACATTTAATTGTTATGTTTGTAGTATTATTTATTTCATTTTGTCACATTACATCCTCCATATATGAAGTAGTTGAGTGATATTGCGTCTTAAGGTCGCAAATTTATGGGAGAAAACATCTGGATGTAAATGATTGATGGACACTATAAATCAACAAGTTTTATGACTACAGTTTTAAATAGCAGAATAAATTTACTATTTTGAAAAAAAAAATAATAATAAGGCACATATTTCTATGGGTGCTGGAAAAAATGCACAAAAACAATCATGTGTATCCGTTAGTCCAGCTGTGTCCGAGATGTGTCTCCAAATCACTGCCACTCAGCTTTGATCCTCAAAGTTGGGAAAAAAAAATCACTTTGATATGTTTGAAAATCTTTAAATGTGATATAATTTAGTTTTGGACAAGCAATAGCACACATCAGAATGTACCAGTGTGCTTTGTTGTTTTCGTGGTGAAACAAAACATAAAAATGACAAAATTAGCTGAATACTTTTTTCTCTTTGTTCCTGTGGATGGTTTTAGTACTGTTTAAAATCTGACTAATGTAATAATTTATTTTTGAGTCAGAAACATTTTTAAAAAGCAAAAATCAGGACTTAGAAACACACAACGATGACCAAAGTACAATAAGTCACACGTTTAGTCCAGGGAGCTGCAACCTTTACAATAAAAAGAGCCATTTCTGCCCCTTTGTTCAGTAAATTAAATGTGCCTGGAGCTCTAAAACCTGATACAAACGTGAATATTATAAAACTAAAAATATCTAATGATTTTGAACATTTATTGATATTTTTACATTTTAAGGCAAAAGACAATACCAGATTTTTGTAAAGAATAGAAACAAATTATCATTTTTACAATTTTTAAAATTAAAACAATGAACTAGGCAGGCCTATGTGATTACTTAATTTTCGAAAAAATAATTAAGTATCTTACTTTGAAGAAGTAAAACACAAACTAAAAGTATGTTTTACTCCTTGTATTAGTTCTAACATTCACATATTAAAAAAAAAAAAAAAAAAAAGACAGGAACTGCTTAAAATAGCCATTTTTTGTTGTTGGTAAAATAATAAAATTCAGTTTTAGGTTAATTTTGGTCAAAGTATAAAAGCGCCACTGCAGAGGAACCAAAGAGCCACATGTGGCTCCGGAGCCACAGGTTGCAGACCCCTGATTTAATCTATAATACATTTTTTTATATTGCTCTTACACTTGTGGTGGTTACTATTAAATAAGTGCAATATAAATTATATATACCGGTATATATATTCATTATAATTTGTACTCCCCAAGTATAAATATGTTTATTTGTAGAATAGAAACACACTGACCTCTGTGGGCTGAATGCAGCCTTTACAAGCTGCTTTTAATATATTTATTTATTCAGTCTTTAGCCTTTCTTTGCCCTCCTTAACCACACACACACACACACACACACACACACACACACACACACACACACACACACACACACGAATGACTGTGGCTTGTTCCCTGACTGAAGCCGGTTGTGGTCGTATTGTGCACTGAAGTGCAAAGAGCAACAGAGGCCAGAAAAAGATTGTGGCGGGTCCTGCCTGCTTCACTCTGTCCTCAGCTCTTTCCGTCATATTTTCTTTCTTTGCCACTCACAGCGTTGCAGATTGTTTTTGTGGTTTTGGGAGCAGAAAAATTCAGCGTCGGACGCCGTTTCAGCAAAAGAAAAGTCTGATTTAGCAGTGGTCAGTTCGTTTGGTCTGGAAAGCTGAGTCATAGTTTCTCATACTTTTTTTTTATATTACAGTAAAAACCTTTTTTGTTATTTATCAAGAACAAAACAAATATAATTGTCATCTTAAGAGATGGCATACTGCATGTCAACCTGACTTTTGATTTATTTTTTATTTTTTTATATCATTCAGATGCAAAAATAAAAAATAAATAAATAAAAATCGGGGGTTTCCCCTCAGCACAGCTCAGTTTAACGCAGAGGGAAATATGAGTTGTCTGGTTATGGTGATTTCCATTGTACCCTCAGCTGGCGTCAGCGCAGGGTTACAGGAATGGAGATGGTTGATGTGAAAATTATGGCTTTGCACAAAGTTTAGCCAAGATGTGACCCGAAAGAGGCGACACATACAGTATGAAAACAACAGCTTCAAGTCCAGTTGCAGCTTTTGACTAATTTAGTTCAGAAGAAGAGCACGAGCGACTCTTTCGATTGAAAAGTTTCCTCCTGACCTACAATCAATTCAGATTCAGAAGGTCTTTATCGTCATTCGCACCACATGTGGTACATGTGGTGGAACGAAATTATGTACACAGGGTCCCAGTTACATCCAACAATAAAATGTTAAAAAAAAGTAATAAAAAAAAAAAGCAGTAATAAGAGCTAAGATATGAACTAAGACTAGGAACTAGGAAAAACATCAAGGCAGTGTTCCTGGCTTCAAGTGGTGGAGAAAGTATCTCAAACACTGTACTTAAGTAAAAGTACAAATAAACAGATAAAAATGTACTCTAGTAAAAGTAGAAGTACCACATTAACATTTTTACTTTAGTAAATGTAAATAAGTACTTGCTTTTAAAATACTTAAAGTATTAAAAGTAAAAGTACTTGTTGAATGTATTACCTAATGTAATGGTCTACATATCTTTAAGTCTGCGTACCATATGTATATTTTCTGTAATACATTAATAGTGTTGTTCCATTTTAATGAACGATGCTGCAGATAATACATGTTTTTATTGTGTTTACTCTGTGACACAGTTCACACTTGGACTTGTGATTCTGTGCGTCAGAATTTCAGAGATGACCTGCAGAGTTAAATGACATTAATCAAAATAAGAAAGAGGAATTATTATACTTTTAAAAGTTTTTATTTAACACAAAGCAAAACCAATGTGTCATTTTAACTGCAGTAAACACATTTAAGTAAAAGTTGTCTGGATGAACAAAAGGGGCATTAGACCTAACAAAGTAACAGGCACTGATCATTTCCACTGATATTTCAACTCCAGTTTGTCATCAACTCTAGTTAAAATACTGTCTATTCAACCTTGTAATGGGTCAATAGTGAACAATATTTTAACTTCCTGACACCATTTTGAAAACTTGGACCTGAGTGTCAAGCCATTTGAAGACATCTCTTGTCTCCTAACATCCCATGAACTGACACATTTTAATGTTGCAGCAATAATTTCTTGTTCAAGTTCAGAAGAAGTTGGTTTTCAAAGATTTTGAGTCCAGTCTGGCTCTTTTGGGAGAGAGAAGCTGTCCTGTTGTACTGAGCAGTCTTTCAATAAGGCCATGGATGGAGCATATCTTCTGGGTGACTCTCTTGTGGTGGAATACATTTTGGGTGTGTTAGTGGTGCTGCAGGTGCACCCAGCTCAGTGACATATATACTAGAATATATGTCACTGGCCCAGCTCTTCTTGAAGGCGGGCCTAACGTTACCTGACCACTCTGCAGTGATTCAATGGACCAGCTCCCCTCTCACCGTTGGTTACTTTCAAAGTAACAAACAAATCAAAAAGCCGCAACATGAATGTAACTTGTAATGCAATGAGTTATAGAAATGTAGTGTAGTAGAAAGTACAGATACTTGATGTAAAATGTAGTGAAGTAAAAGTATAAAGTACCCACATTTAACTCTACTTAAGTAAAGTACAGATACACGAAAAATGTACTTAAGTACAGTAACAAAGTATTTGTACTTAGTTACATCCCAGCGAACCTCCGCATTCAGCCAAGGCTTCCTGTTCGGGTAGTTCTTAACATATCTGGTGGTGATGACATCATCAGCACATTTACTAATGTACCTCAGAACTGAGGATGTGTATTGCTCCAGGTCTAGCACCCCCACCCCCCCATTCAGCAGCTTCTCTGAAAACCTCCCAGTTTGCTCGTTCAATACAATATTTTAGCATGGAGCTACTATTCTGGCCAGTCTGGAGCTTCTCAGCGGGGGAAGGTAAGCAGGAGGCAGGAAGATTGAGATATGATCAGTCAGGCCGAGGTGGGGGCGGGGTTCGGCTTTATACGCATCAACTGTGGCACACAAAGACAGCAGTGCTTTGCTATTAGAAATAATATTTTATATAATCATTGATTGGTCTGATGTGTAAAATACAGCAGAAAAAACTGTCACTGAAGCCGTTTCCGTACATCAACCCTCCAAACTCTGATGATCAGCATACCTGCAGGGCATCTGGCAACATCAGTAATTTTGGTTGACAACAGTTGATGTGCTCAGACTGTGGCATTATGAGTGATCTGTCCATAGGATAGGATGTGTGGGTACACCGCACCATTTCTTTGTGTCAGATGGAGAAGTTTATTCCCTCTGCCATCAATAAATGACCATATTCTTGTGAAGGCTCTGTTCAGCTGCACAACTAAATCCTGCTCATTATTTTAGGGCCTTATTAGAACTGAGAGGGCTTTAGAGCTAAACATATTTGCTTTGGTAGGTAATGAACTCAGCTAATATTCCCGTGGGAACATCATTCCCAGCTTAAGGGATTTGAACTACCAACCTTTCGAATGCAGCCGGGGATTTGAGCTAATTACCACTTTCACTGAGCGCCCTGCCTTGAATGTAAGCCCCCTGCAGAGAGGGCTGCAGTAAATACTCGAGTACAGTCATTTTTTAATGTGTTTGTGTTTAAGGAACAAAATATGAGCTGCTGCTAAAAATAACGTATAATATCTGTCACTGGGCGTTTACTGGACTTTTAATAGCAACTAAAATCAGATGAAACTGCAGGAGAAAAATATGTTTTTGGTTAAAAAAATTCAAAAGTAGGGGGGAAAAGGACAAACGCTGCCTGTGCTGCTGTCTGTGTGTGAGCTCTGACCTCTGTGTGAAAGTGTTGGTGGACTCAGAAAGGGAGGTGTGTGGCTGTGATGTGTGTCATGATGGGGGGAGGACGGGAGGAGGAGGCCGAGTCGAGCAGGCAGAGAGTAAAAGTGTTTACTCCTGCCTGAAGGAGTGAGGGAGAGGCTGGAAAAAAGAACAAGGCTCAGTTTCTCCCTCACTTCCAAAGGACCTGCTGAACTTTGGATGATTTTCACAATCTGATCAACCCTCAGCTGTTTAGAGGAGACGCTGGCGTCTCACACCGATCCTACCATGAGGTCCAGTTAAATCTTTAAAACCCTGTCTAAGTTTAGAGGAGATCAAGAAGCAACATGAACATCCAGGTTCCCACCTGAACTCAGACTCTGTAGGAACCAAACGCCTGAACAGATCTCTGGATCTCTTTGGGAAGATGTGCTCTCTGAACCGGACCCTGTCTCTGTCTGTCTTTCCCAGGGACCCGGCTGCTGCCCTGGATGCTGCAGTTGACTATGTCAAGGTAGGAGAAATACTTTCATTTGTACAGGATCATTGGTTTGAATGCACAAGCAAGACTATTTGGATCTTTTAGAGGGATTATTAATCTACTCAGTGTATTTCATGTGCTTAAAAAAGTCTCAAACAGAGGCTGCTTCAATGTCTTTATTCAAGTTACACATTGAATCAGGGGCTGATTAGGAAAAATAGGACAAATGCAGAACTGCTAAACTAAAATTAGAGAAAATGGAATTGTATGCATGCTGAAAGATAGCTGCTGAAATTTGTTAAATAAAGTAAAATGAAATCTTAAAGCAGAACAGAGACTAAAATGAAGAGAGCAAAAGCTAAAAGTAGCAAAACGGATGTCTAAATCATCAAAAAAAAGTTGCTAAAGTTAGCACGTCTGTAACTAAAAGCTTAAATGGAGCACGGCGGTTGCTAAAACCAAAATGTAGCCAAAGAGTGAGCTCAGGTGCAAACATCAGTCCCCTGAGATGTTAATTCAATCCCACAATAATGCACCTTTAAATCAAAGCTTTTTCTGCTGCGCTGCTTTAAATCAGATCCACGCCACCTGAGTCGCGGCTCATTCTGTTAGCATCATCATCCAAGTGATATGTGATGACCTTTACAGCCAGTGATTGATTCGGATCAGGTCTTTGTTTTCTTGTTTGTTAGGTTTTTTTTTAAGAGACCCGACCCGATTTTCCAACATATTATTTATTTTTGTGCTTCATATTTTATTAAATGAGTTTTTTTTTTTTTATGGAAGCTGATAAGAGAAACAGAAAAAGGAATAAGATGTGTGTGGGTTTTTTTTTTTTTAGAAGAAAGATCTAAAAAAGTCAACTCAAAACAAAATGTGTAACAGACACAAGTTAAGTCTGTCATCAACACCAACTTATACAGTCACAGTAAAAAGGAAGTCCCCTCTTAAGTCCTTAGCTTCATGTACTAAAACTTCCTAAAACAAAATGCTAATATATGGAATAAAATAAAGCTGCAACACAACTGGTTGATGGTCTCAGGTTTAACTTTGGAATATTTGGTGTATAAGAGGGAGCTCTGTAGAACAAGCCCAAACCATCATCCCTCCACCGCCATGCTGAAAGTTAGTTTTCTCCACACTTCGCCTTGTGCTTTAGAGCCAGATTTACTCTGCATTAGCTTTTAGAAACAATGAAAATGTACTTGTATCGTAAGGTTTTTTTTTGTGTGTAATCTTGTCGTAACTGAGATACGTTTCTCTTTTTTCCGTGTCACTCTTCATCCTTTACTCCATCGTTCACTGTTTCTATCATCCGTCAGTCGTTCTCGTTTCTTATTAGCTCATATGCTTTGATGTTGACACCTGAGTGTGAAAAGCAAACAGTCTTTTCCATGAGAGCAGCTTCACACATCTGTGCACACACACAGACACACACACACACACACACACCCTCCGGTTAACACTGAGCTGACAGGATGTGGAGCTACTGTATCTCATACTTTCTATAATAAGTGTGGAAATGAAGCCGTCAGCTCGTCTCTGCTGCTGCTGCAGGTGTGTTTACATTTGAAAAGTGGCTGACAAACGAACGTGCGTCCACGTGCACGGACAGAAACAAAGGTACAGGTGTTTGGTGTCAGTGCAGCAAACCACAGCATCAGAGTCAAAGTTTCTTTATCATTCACACCACATGTGGTGCATGTGGTGGAACGAAACTGTGTACACAGGGTCCCAGTTACATCCAATAAAAGTATAAAATATATAAAAAAAACAGTAATAAGATCTAAGGTATGAACTAAGAAAAATATTAGACTAAAAATAATCTAAGCACTAGTAAGTACAGCAGCATGCAGTCGATTAAACAGCAGAAGTTAGATGCAATGAAGCAACACGTGAAGGTTTTCACAAAGAACACTCTCTTAAAATCATTACTCCCGTGTGGACAGTCTTATCCCCAAAGGCTTTTGATGTCTGAATTCAGCTGCATTTTTAATAAATATATATATCCAATTAGCTTATTTTCCCGCCACAAAGAAGTGGGAAAAAAGTTAAATAAGGTAATTTTCAGGTAAAGGAGTGAATTGAAAATACGGTGAAGACGAACTATAAATCAGTGCAGAAGTTGTGCTTTATCAAGACTTATCTCAACATGATCATCAAAATGCGTTCACAAGTTTATATTTATCGTTATAATGAGGAGGAATATAAGAAGAAATTATCTGTTCTGTTTTAATGAAGACAGTTTGTGGCACAACAAATGAAAACAGAAGTCTTTGATGACAAACTGAAAGATTTATCCTCTTTGTTTCAGATCCTCCTCTTTCTCTTTCCTCCTTCTTCCCTCTTTCATTCCCACTGAGCTGAAAGCTGCTCAACCCTATTATGAGTGAGAACAATAATGCTCTTTGTGTGCGTGTGTGCGTGTGTGCGTGTGTGGTCTCAAGTTCCAGTAGCTTAACTCTCAGCATGAAATACTTGAACCACACACAGAAGCAGACAGCAACAGCAACAGTAACAAAAAGTAAAGATTTTTGATCGGTGTTAAGAAATGGTTCATTTTCATCTCTCCTCTGTCTAAAGTGCTTCATCTAGTGGCCTGTTGAGGTATCACTAATCTGTGAGTCACCACTAAAATGTTGGTCAGATTATTACACTGAAGGATGATGATCTGCATCATTATGTCAGTTTGTCTCTGAAGAATGACTTCAAACAGCAAAGAGACAATAATTACACATGTCCACCAAGAAGTTTGAACTTTCTGTTTTCTGCACTGGATGAACAGGTTTATAATCTGAGCAGGCATCAGGCCGGTGGCTTCAATAAAATCCCCAATGAGTTTTCAGTTTTCAAAAATAAATTTCGAAGCAGTTTGATTCCTAAACTCTGCAGGTCTCACATTTATCCACACATGAAGGAAGCCGTCTGAATTTTGTTAAACATCATCCCAGTTTAAATCTGAACCCCCATGTAATCTAAGATTATTGTAAAACCAATTTTAAGATCATTTTCTTTGTTGATATGAATGCCATGACGCTTGCCTTCTTATATAAAAGTCATGAAAGTGAATGAACTGAGTTTTCTCATTATTAGCTTTGAGGCAGGAAACGATAAAACAAAATGAGATTGTTTGAAGAATATTTATGGTTTCCAGTGGCTGATTCATTAACGATGCATGCACACACACACAGCAGGTCCATCAGGCTGAACCAGTTTACCGTTGATGATGATCAACCAGATGACAGTCTGATGGAGCTCAGCAACAGGAGGCATGTTGACCCAGAGAGAGAACAGCGCTGATGTGCATTATTTGGTACGGAGGCTGATTAATGTTGCCTGACTGGTGTAAAGCAGCAACATTGTTGTTCACTGTGTGTCACAATATCATGCTAGGCCTGTCACGATAACAAATTTTGCTGGGCGATTAATTGTCTCAGAAATTATTGCGATAAACGATAATATTGTTTGAAATTTGACAACAATTAGTCAATATTGTCAAATTTAAGACGAAATGTTTAATTTGTTTTGCATGTAGTAACTTTTTTCAACCACCGGATGGCAGTATAAGACTGTTTGAATCGAAGGATGGATAGTGAGGGGGGAGCGTGTCTCTAAGAAAAATGTGAGGGAGGCCCCTTGACCTGACATGGGCTGTCTCTCTTCGGTTCCCAAAATGGCGGACACTCAGTGTGGTTTGAGCTCTTCAGCATAGCATTTTTCACAAAAAGCTTTTAATAATATAAAAAATAAAAAAAACAGTAAACAAGTTCTCAGCTTCTTTTTGCAGAGGAAAAACAACTTTTTACATGAAGGCACAGGTTCCAACTGTGAATTTTGGAGCTTCAACAAGATGGAGGTTTTTTTCCCCAAGGTCGGCCTGTTAGCTTAGCTCGTAGCTTAACTTCTCAGCTTAGCTGCTTTTAACCAATTTTGGATGGTTAAAATGGATTTTAAAGAGAAAGGGAGGGGTCAGTGAAGAGCACCGGTGTTGAGCCTTTTGTCATCCAGTGTCTTCAGTAGAAAGAGAGAAACAAGAAGAAACGATAAAGCTGATAAATAAAAAACGAGGTCGATAATTTTCATTTATCATGCGATTAATTGATTTATTGTTTATTGCAACAGGCCTATATCATGCTTTAACTGTCAGCTGCAGCTTTGACACAAAAATCCATCTCTGATGAGCAAACATCAGCCAGTGTCAGGAAATCAAAGATGGCCACCTCAGTGGATTTTATCATTACATCACCCAACTGCTTGAGTGACATAATGACACAATATAACACAATACATGCAGTTTCCATTGTATCAAAACGGATGAGAGAAAATTACTTTATTTGTACAGTTTCCTTTTTGAAGACATGCCTTTAAATAATGTTAATATTAAGGCCACTGTTCCAGTTTAAGCAACTATATGGGGACAATGTGAGACATTAAATGTTGAAATGGTAAAAACGTATTTAGAGATGTCTAAAGTTGTTTTTGAGTCTGCAGTGTGGTAAATGCTGAGTATTTAAATTTGTTTAAATCTGTTTGGCATCGTTTTTTCTCCGTTTAAGCAAAAATCCATCGCTTGCATCCATAGTTTTTTCCAGCTTGTGGTCGTCTCCCTGCTATTTTGTTGTGTAATTTGCAGTTCCTCTAAATGTCCTTCACTGGACACAGTCAGGCAGCAAAGATGGAGACAGGTTGACGTTTGATTGACACCGACCACAGCTTGTGTGAAAGCTTTCTTCACTAGATGGAAGCCAAATATTAGCTCATCTCTGCTGCCTTTGACTTCTGAAAAGTACAACTTGTTAAACGGTGGGACATTTTCCCAGGAGGGACAAGGGTAGTCCCACACAGCAGGTCACCCAGGGAGCAACGCGTTGGGCTGGACGTCTGCACTATCTGTTCTCATGAATGGTAAAGGGCATCTAAGCATCATACTCCACGCTCAATTTTGTAGAATAATTAGGCGAACAGGTTTGTTTCTCTCAGTCCGTCTGACATTAACAACAAACAGGAATAAAAAAAAGAACTGATTTCTGCCG